GAAATAATTTTATTTATTGAAAATTGAAGTTGAAGGACATTTTTGGTACTTTCTAAAGTTCAAGGATGAATTGATTCAAAAATAAAAGTTGAGGGACCAATTCAGGTATTTAACCTAAAAAATATATTAGCCATGTCAACATCACTATTCAATTAATCCTTAAATAGAAAAAGCTGAAAATTGACATCCTTAAATAGAAAAAAGTTGAAAGTTGACATCCTTATTTAGAAATTGACAAAGTTAACATCCTTATTTAGAAAAAAATTGAAAGTTAACATCCTTATTTAGAAACTATCAAAATTAACATCCTTAAATAAAAAAAAATACAAAGTTAGAATCCTTATTTGCACCTTTACTCAAACTCGGACTCTATACCTTGTTTAAAAGGGAACTCAAAGTAACAAGTCGTTAATATTCAATTTGATACTAAAACCATCCTTCTGTTAAAAATTCTGTTAATTTTTTTTTAAATTTGGATCCCTAAACTTACATCAGATTGACATTTTAGTAGTCATCATACTTCTTATTTGTTCAGTTTGGTCCCATATTTCAGTCTTTCTTCTTGCATTCTTCAATATGCAGCACTAACTTATTTTTCTTATAAAAAGAAGAAATTGACTATTATAGAGATCAACGGTGCATATTCCATCATGAAAGCGCTTGGGCATGGACCATGTCACTAGGTTGGTCCCTTTCATTGGGTTACATGACCACGCAAGCAATTACAGTTCGTTCTTTTATAGCCGAGGGGTGGGGAAGGTCCTCCGCCATACTTTTAGCCAAATCTGTTAGAAAATTCCGCCCAAAATCCTACACAGAACGCAACTCAAAACACATTCGACAAACAAATTCAACAGAAGAAGGTTTCTGTTTTCTCGGTCTTTGTCTGGGGATGAAAGGCACAAGCTTTGCCTCTGAAATTTAGATCTTGTAATTGAAACGTAAAAGTTCCCTCCTTTGATCTTCAACCAGGTACCCTTTACATATTTCTTTCTTTATTGCTGTTCGTTTGCTGTCTGTGAATTGCCAGGAATTGTGAGGCTCAGCGGAAATCTTAAAAGTGGGTTGGTTTTTTTTATGGAAGTTTCTGGGTGTATGATTTACTCTTTGTTTGTAGCCAACTAGAATTCCGATAATGATGGAGAGGGCAGAGCCAGCTCAAAAGCTATACAAGCAGATGCGTTTATGGGAATTCCCTGATGAGTACGTGATTGAGCCTACCGATGGTTCCCACGGTTCCTCTTTGTCAGTCAGTCGTGTTGATGGCTCAATGAAACTTATTGGTGGGTTGTTTTTATCTCATAGCTTGTCTGGTGATCCTTGCTGTTTGTTTTTGGTTTCGGGTTTGTAAAGTGATAATTGTTTTGCTGATGCGTAGTTGCATACATTGTGATCTCCAGATGATGTTCCAGAATGCAGCTCTGTACGGGTTCCTAAGATCCGGACAATTTTTGGTGTTGTTGGGATGCTAAAGCTAGTGACAGGTATGATAGTTTTATCAAACACTCAAATTATGAACCCCATTTTCAGATCTCAATGCTTGATCCTGATTTTTTTTCCTGATTAGTCGGTTTCACAACTTCCATCTTCATGTTCATGTATAGTTTTAAAGATATCCAAAGAGTCATAAAAGAAAGGTTGTAGATAATATCTAATGTTAAAAAATTATTTTAGAGTACAATGAAGGAAATAGTGTAATCCTGTTAACATTACACCCTCTTGTGATAAAATTCTTTGAATCTTATAAATTTATTCTGTTTTTTTGGCTGTCAATCTTATAAGTTGATTCACTTAATTAATTTTTGTATTAAGTTCTGAACTAGAAACATATTGTACTTAGGAGATATGGACCTGCAGTTTGTCTATCTAATTTGATTCATTGAATTTTTATGTGTTAGGGTCATATTTGATAGCAATAACAGAGCGTGAATGTGTTGGAGCTTATTTGGGACATCGTATCTACAAAGTTGTATCTTTGAATGTTTTTCCATGTGATCATTCTCTTAAAAACTCTCCTGTAGAGCAGGTATGTCTCCTGTTGCTTCAATGTTCTTACTACGTATATTGATTATTATTTGATGAACATTATCATTGTTATACAAACTTTGGCAGAAAAAGGTGGAGACAGAATTTTCTGGGCTGCTTCAAGTTGCAGAGAGGACTACTGGTCTATTTTTCTCATATGACACCAATCTAACTCTAAGGTTAATTCCTTTTGTGATTTATGACATTTATCCATGCAAGTTCTTCCCAGTGTCAAAATAATCTCACTTTAAAGTGGTTAAATTTCCTTTTCTTTTTTGGACTTTGAGAAAATGAGTGCCTGGGATTCAAGGTGTAACAGTATATGGTGTGATAAAAAAAAAGGGTGAAATTTACTGTTGAGGTTCTTCCAGTGTAGTCATTAAGATTATACAAAAGCAATAGAATTAATCAGCTCTGCACCCCTAAATTTATCCAGTAGGGATGAGATTCTTTGGATATATTAGGAATTTGTGTAATTACTTGTTTCCAGGTCCATTTTTTTAACTCATTTTTTTAGTTTTTAATGTATTTGACAATCATGGCAAAAGAATTATCATATGATTTTGGCATGCAACAGTGCACAGAGATTGCATGATCTGGGAGATGAATCCAAATTGCTTCCTCTTTGGAGACAGGTAGCTATCTGCTATTAATATTTCAAGTAGTTGATGTATACTATTACCTCTATGCTCTATCCCATTATTTTTCCCCTATTAGAGATTATTAGATGACCTGATATTGTCTCTGGAAATTAAGGCTGCATTTCTTTTATAAAAATCTCTCTAATTGCAGTGTTTCAACCTGCCAAAGGTTTCCCATGTAGTTTTTAAATTCCAATAACAAGGCTTTTCCTTTTGTCAACAAATGTTACTGCAGGCAGAACCACGGTTTCTTTGGAACAATTACATGTTGGAAGTGCTCATAGATAACAAGGTGAGATTATTTGTTATTTTATTTTATTTTTTGAATATTATGGTTCATTTTCATTCCTTTAAATTTGTATCTCACTAACTGTTGGATTGTTCCATCCCCTTTCTACAGCTTGATCCATATTTGCTTCCAGTTGTCCAAGGGAGTATCCTTCATCGTGCTTTCAGTTTCAGCATGTAGCTGTTGTGACAGGATAACATATTTTTTCATTGTTTAACTACTGTATAGTTCATACTGGGTTCTTCTAACTATTTTCCTTTTGTAGTATCTCCTTAACTGCTATTCAGGTTTTCATTACTTTCAAGCAGCTATTGGGAAAGAAATTGCTAATGTTACTCTGATTGCTAGGAGATGCACTAGGAGAAATGGTACTTAAAACTTTGTTTTATTAATTTGGCCATGGTCTATTTGTAGTTTTCTTGATTTTCAAAATTATCTTTCTTTTCTAAATAAATAATGGTTTTAGAAATAAAATTTCTAGATTTGGCCGTATAGAAAATAGCTACTTGGATGTGAAGGGATAGGTTTTGCTGGTGCTGCAAATTGTTAGTTCCATCATGACATGGTTAAACAGATCCAATACATTATATAATCATGGTCATATTAACCCAATTTCTTATGATTTGGAGAAACATTACCCAGAGAGGACTTTCCTTCCCCTCTATCACTGGAAAATGTATTAATAAAAAATAACAATGTTGATAGAAAATAGCAACTTGTTTTCATCCAAAATTTGCAGAGCCTTCTCTATACATGCTAATATTGGTTACTAATTTTCATCCTTTTGATTACTAATTTTCATCCTTTTTAAGGTACTCGTATGTGGAGAAGAGGAGCTGATCCTGATGGCTATGTTGCTAATTTTGTGGAAACTGAGCAAATTATACAGATTAATGGGTACACATCATCTTTTGTTCAGGTAATTATGGTCTAGGTTTCTGAGTAGAAAGCTATAGCTATCAGTTTCTTTCCATTATTGGTTAGATACACAGAAAGCATGGATGGGGATTCTTATGGGCATTCAAATCAATTTCACCAAAGAAGTTCTTAGGATATACATTTTTGTTTTGCCAAAGAAGATCTTAGCTATCAGGTACACATTATTGTTTTGCCAGCTTAAACAGTCATTTTCTTTCTTTTGCCTTCTGCAGGTTCGGGGTTCAATGCCATTTCTCTGGGAGCAAATCGTTGATTTGACGTATAAGCCCAAGTTTGAGATTGTGAATCCTGAAGAAGCTGTAAGTGTTATTTGTTCACTGAATGACATTGTCTTTGAAACTAATATAATGGAAATACCTAATATTATGCAGCCTCGAGTAGCTGAGCGTCATTTTCTGGATTTAAGGAAGAAGTATGGAGCAGTTCTAGCAGTTGATCTTGTCAATAAGGTTGAAATTTTTTTCCTTATGCAATAAATTTAGTGGGGGTGACAGGGGCAACCTCATAGTTACATTTTCTGTTGCTGAAAATAGTGTAATATCTTACTGCTTAGCAAAAGCAGAAAGAGCTTACTTGTGACAGATTGAGAATGCATTTCTCTTTTTTCCTCACCAATATGCTTCATTTAATGACCATGCATGTGCCTGAATTAGGAGTGTGAGAATCTAAATAGGTCTTTATTTAAATATAATTTATCCTTTAATTCCTGTCTTGCTTTATCTTTTACCAGCGTGGAGGTGAGGGACGCTTAAGTGCAAAATTTGCAGGTTCAGTGCAGAATATTTTGAGTGATGATGTAAGGTAGAGCTTCCTTTCATCTGATCTTTACTCATCTTTTATTTGCTTGGGTTTAAATTTGGTTATATTTTATACAAAGATCTATAATCTTGTAGATATGTCCATTTTGATTTCCATCAAGTCTGTGGGCACATTCATTTTGAGCGACTATCAATCCTCTATGAGCAAATTGTAGATTTCCTTGAGAAAAATGGGTATGTGTTTTCTTAATCTGTTTATGTCATGAATATTTAAATCAAGTTTGGTTATTGTGCTTAAATTACTGTTTCTTCATATTCATTTAGTATATATTGAGTTTTTCATTGCCTTTCTTATTGAAGGTTAATTTGAAAGTTTTAGATAGCTAGTAATTCCAATTCTTTCTTTTCATTTACATAATTTCAATTTGGTAGGTATCTCTTGCTAAATGAAAAGGGTGAGAAAATGAAAGAGCAAACTGGAGTTGTAAGGACTAATTGTATCGATTGCTTGGACCGGACAAATGTTACACAGGTAAACACTTAAACACAAGAGGCAAAGCAGTAAAACAATACCTCTTCTATTGAAACCGAACTGATTTCCCTCACCAAATTGGTAAAATAACAAAAAATTCTTTTTTTATTTTTGTTTGATTCTCTAATTTTCTTTCTGCAAATATCTTGTGCTTTGTTTGCTTACTGCTTATTCAAATAACTAATATTTTGTTATATATGAACATGATTAATGAGCACCACATTCCCTCCTTAAAGAAGAACAAAAGTGTTTCTTCAGTTGCATTTTTGCATGAGAATGGGGAGAAAGTGCATAATATCCTCAGTTTTTCCTTCACTATCATATTCTTTTGCTTCTCTAACCCTGCTGGCAAAATATCCAGAGTATGATTGGTCGACGGATGTTGGAAATTCAACTTCGGAGGATTGGCATTTTTGGCGCTGAAGAAACCATTAGCTCACATCCAAATTTTGATGACAGCTTTAAAATATGTTAGTGCATTTTGCTTTAAGATGATCTTCTATACACATAATATGTTATGATGTTTACTGTTTCCTTCCTAAAGCTTGCTGCTTTTAACTGTCTTCCATCTTCAGTGTGGGCTAATCACGGAGATGACATAAGCATTCAATACTCTGGCACTCCTGCACTGAAAGGAGATTTTGTCAGGTACTATTTAATGGATCTAGTATGAAATGCTTTCTGAATGGTTATGAAGCCTTTTTATATTTCTGAAATGGCATGGTGGACGCATCTTGACCCCACTAATAGGAGTGTGTATATATGGGAGTGAATTATATTCTTGAAACTATTTTGAAGCATCTTTCTATCCTCTACATACTAAAATTCCTCCACGAAGTGTAGATTGCCATTTTTTTCTTTTAATAATAAAAACATTATGGCATTGATTTATGGTACTGAGAAATACTGTTAATCTTACCTATAAATTTGTCCTGATCTGTTGGTTAGGTTTGGCCAGCGGACAACTCAAGGGATCATGAATGATCTTCGTAATGCCCTTGTACGTTATTATTTGAACAACTTTTGCGATGGAACAAAACAGGTAAATATATTTCATTCATATATTCAGTTTTCCTCTTTTACTTCTGTACCTCACCTTTGATACTTCAAACCTTTTATCTTCCCAACTTTCTGTTTGACTGTCCATTGGTAATGTTGTTAATTCTCTGAAGTGCAAAATTTTGATGTAGCACTACCTCCACTAATAAGGGCCCATTGGTACAACAATGCTTTTACTTGCGTGATAATTTGTCACCTTAGCTTGTTTGTACTTCTCACCTTACATTGTTTTACAAGATATTTTTTCTACTATTTTCTTTTCCACAGTTTGTATATTGTCCATTATATGTGAAGGGACAATCATCTCTTCCATAATGGTTATCAATAACGTGTATATTAATTGGGCAAATATGTGTAGGATGCAATTGACCTCCTCCAAGGACACTACATTGTTTCTGTCAGCCGTGATATGACCCCTCAACCTCAAAAAGGAGGCCTAGAGACTGTGGCTGTAAGTTAAATACCTAATGGTGTTTTAAGATGTTAAGTCTCTTTCCTAATATTGAGTAATAGTTATTATATATCATACTTGCTTGAAGTTGGACAAATTATGTTTTGCTAATAAGTAGACATATCTTAACAACAAATAAGGGGTTTATTCTACATTAGTTTATCCTTGCACGCATCATGTTTCAAATCTTACATTTCTTGATGGTTCCCTGGGGATGACACACTGTTTTTTTCTCCTATATATTTTTGCTCTGTCTTTTGCAGTCATTTCCACTGGCTTTGGCATTAGTCTTGATTGGATTCTTCTTTGCAATCGTGTCACTGAGGCAAGGTAAGTGGATTTTGTAGAAAGGAATTTGAATAGCTGGAATCACTTGAATTTATGGATGCATTTATCACCCAGGCAAGAAATTGTGTATTTTTAGAGTTATTATCTGGATAGGTGCTAGTTCAGTGACCAGTGTAACCTTTGAAGCATATATCTGCATCACAGCACACATATGAATGCATTAAAAAATTATCACTAATGAGAAGAGGAAAGATATTTCATACCATGTTTGTGGATTATCATTAACTAGAGAGGTTTATGACACATGCTCTTATCTTCAATCTTTGCAGTTAGCTATGGATATCGGCACCTATTCTTTTCACTAATGTGGACCGGTATAAGTATTGGTATTGCAGCTGTTGTGAGAACTAATGGCAGGATTTTCTGCAACCGACCTCGCCTGCACAAACCAAGAAGATAATTCTTGGTTGAGAAAAGCCCTGGCCTATACAACACTTTTACAAATTCTCATCATGCTGGTTATTGTATTTATTCTTTCATACTGCTTTTTGTGGTTCATATGGTTCTGAATTTTTTTTGTCAGCAAATACGACTATTCTTTTCTTCAGTATCATTCCCTTTTGTAGAAATGTAATTCTCCCTGAGCTTTGTTCAAGCAGGGAGCAAATTGAGTGGTATTTATAGCAATGTTGAACAAAGACCTGCTTTATGGACAAGCTATGCTAATTTGAGATATTGATATCAATAGCTTTTGGCTCTCTTATTCCGTGAATTTATGATATGCATACATATGTTGATGAACTCTTCTAGTAAGAGAAACTAAGTTATAATCCTGACTCGTGAGCCCCTTCATCAAGAGGAAATTGAGCAGCAAATGGAGGCCAGTACAGGTGAAACTCGATCTTGTACACGACAGTTAGGCTCTTGAGATCCACAGGAGACGATCTTACATAGCCTTGCACAAACATGAAGTCCCCAGTGCCCCCCACAACTGGATGATCAGAAGGCTTGACATTGTGAGTGCCCCCAACAATGGAAATAGACCCTGTATGGCGTTTCAAACGCAAAGTGATTTTAGCAACTGAAATGCTCTGGAGCCCGTCAAAACTAGACGTGATTGATGTTCCCTCCGCGATCCCTACAGCTTTGGAAGAACGATTGGGGGTAAGAGTCATGGGATCTTGGAAAACAAATAAGGTGCCAAAAGGTAGGGCGGTTTCACTAAGTCCTGCCCCTGCCACACCTTTAGTTATAATATACCCAGTTTTGTTTACTGTTTCATGCTGAAAGAGAGCAAAATGAAGAGATTTAAGGCCATGGTGATGGTGGTGGTGGTGGTCAGAGGTCGCCTTGAATGGGAGGACAAAGAACAGAATAACTAGAACACAGCTGCGCAAGATAAGAGCCATGATGAAGGGGAAAAAATGTGTTTGAGAGCTGCTTGAAGTAGGAGTAAGCTGCTACTCTTATAAGCCCGGATTGTCTTGTAATAGAAGGATCAAGGACTTTGCCTTGCATTTTGGTACTGGAGGAAAGAAGACCAAGTAAAAGAAGAAGAATAAGTCAAAGAAGAGGAAGAGCAATCAGTCAAAGGAGAATAGTGATTTGACTTGTTGTCCAATGTAAGGCTTTCCCTCATTCCCTGTAAGCGTAAACAAACATATTTCAGTATTTTGGTCAAGCCGCCCCACTCCAAACGTGGTTTCTAAGTTCTAAAAGGGGCCATAAATCGCGTCCTCTTTTCTAAAGCTCAGATCTTTTTACATTTTTCTGAGTACTTTGATTTTGTATTGCAAGACTCTCATGCAGCAAATTATTCAAAGTGCAGCTGGTTCATGTAGTGCGGGAATGTTACATGTGTGCTGAACAGCTGGTTCAAGTCCAGCTTGCCAAAGTGCTTGGATTCGGTATTTTGATTAATATAATTATCTTATATTACCAAAGAAAAATGGTATTTGATCACAGCTGTCCAGAAAACATGGTTGACTGAAATATAAAAAGCAAGTTCCTGTGCAACTCAGATTCATGGAGAAACCGTGTTTAAAGTTATTTTCCTTACCAGAAGCAAGAAAAAAATGGGAATATAGGTGTAAGTTGGTTTTCATACCGTAGCTGTAATTGATAGACCACTGCAGCAGCTCAGTCAAGCAACATATTGACTCATCTATGCTAACTAGACTATTTCAAGGATCAACCTAATAGACAATGAAATGCTGAAAATAAAAGTACAGTGATTAAGTGAACATGAATAATCACTTAAGATCATGATTAAACATAACAAATCGCCTGAAATTATTGCTCAACGAACAAGAATTTGATATTATTCCAGAAGGAACCGTGTATGGTTGGCAATTTGTAAATAACTTTTTTATTGGCTAATTTGATTTCCAGTATGACTGCTATAATTGCTTCTTCTTCTTCTTCTCCAAATAAGAGTGTGTTCTTTGGAAGGTCAAAATTGTCCAAACCAGATGCCATAAACCAATCTCTGGCCACAATGCAATGGGAGAATATAGTGGGCAATGACTGGTCTGCCAGAGTAGGAAATTGCTTAAGCGAGTCTCACCTGAACTTCGAATCAATATATCAGGATAAGGTGCCACCGCCATATACATGTGCTTCTCAATATCAGTTAGCTTTATCACAGAATGCTGCTCCTCACTCCCCTCAACATCATTACTAGCAGGTTTATCCATTTTGCGAGTCTTGAATGTTTCGACTTCATTGCACTTGCATTCACTGAATCCTTGGATATGATGCCCATCACAACCTGTAATTGCCCTTGATACTTGTGATTCATCTGATCCATCTTTGCATGATTCTTTGACATCATATAAACTCACAATGTTTGTCTTCTGGTCCATTTCTCTTTCTTCAATCATCCTATTGCAAGCATTTTTCCTATTTATTCCTTGAATTTCATCAAATTTATCTTCACATGAATCCTGAACAGCATGAACGATCTCATCACATGATGTATAGGCCATGCAGACTAAAAGCACAGTCTTATTGTTATTAGCAGTAGCCTTCATCACCTTTTCTGCAGCAGCCCGGACAGGCTCAACCAACAGCTTCAAGTTACCTATAAAATAAATCCTGATACCATGCTGATTCACAATACTTTCTTCCTTGACCAAAGCCTCAATCTTCTCTAACATCAGATCCATTAAGGACTGAACCTCACCAGGGTTCCTTTTAAAATTTTCAATGCTGAAGGCATAGACAGTAACATATTTCACTCCCAATTCATAGCAGAAATTAAGCATGGACATTAGTGCCGTGAACCCAGCCTTATGTCCATCTCCTTCTTCCAGACACTGCTTCTTAGCATACCTTCGATTTCCATCCATAATAAAGGCAAAATGACTGGGGATAGGACCAACAGACAAAACACGAAACAAGCATCTTCTCAGAAAATCACTCATACCCCCAAACAGCCGGCCTACACTCCTGCTACCATATTTTCCTACTTTATTCATCACTTGAACTACCATTTGTCAAGCAGACCTGCTCAAGACCCAAAAACAAACCAATTGCTTATAGTCAATAGAGGTAAACTAACACATATTCTTCATATCCTGATTCACTGAAAATAACAATCAAACTGCCTAAGAGTTTCTATCAGCATAGCATAATAACACCAAATTCAAAAGTAGATAAAATGGAATTCAAAATCAAAAGGCAGTAAAGATTGAAAAAATGAACATATAAAGGAATTGGAAAATGACACTAGCCACTTTAAATCCCCATCTCAGAACCTAAACAAATCTCTTAAACCCATACTAAGTCCAAGCAAACTAATGCATTTCATCCATCATTAATCTAAAATTCCCCATCTTTCTTTCTCCCCCTTTTAACATAGAATTCAATGAGGAAAACAATAAAGGGAATTCCTTTCTCGGCCAAAACATGTGTAAGAAAAAGTTTCATCTTTTACTTAAAAAAACAAAATTTAGAAACTTACAAGCAATTCTAGGAAATTAATCAGAACCGCAGTCTCCTGAACTCAGATTCCATAAATGAAACAGAATCAATGTCGGAAAACATAAGTGAAACGAAGAACAAGGAGAGAGGCGAAACTTACAGGAAACCGACCACAAGAATATTCTGGGAGAAAAGAGTAAGGAACCAAACAAGAAGACAAAAGGATAATTCAATCAAAAGTCCTCAACTCAAAAGCCTGAAAGTTTTTGGGGTTTTCCTTGACTTCTGTTGTTGTGTCTGCGGACTGCGAGGGCGGGAATGAAAATAAAGCGAAACTATTTCAACTGGGCCGAGTCTTCTAGATTTGGGCTCCCAAAATGTTTTGTCCATTTTGCACCTTTCTTGGGCCAAAAAAAGTCCATTTAATCTAATTAGAATTTTCGTTGAAGTATAATTTGAATAAAATTTTTTAGGATTACCAAAAAAAAAAAAATTTAGAATGAATTAAATATAAATAGAGAAAAGTGTTTATCTTCCCTTCTAATTTCTTAAAGGTTCCGACTAGTAAACAGTAATATCTTATAAATAATTTTTAAATTGATAAATTTTATTAAATTTTAAACTATGACAAGAAAAAAAAAAAAAACTTACCTTTAAAAATTACTTCAGGAAAGTTTGAGATTGATATTAGATTTTATGAAGTGAAAACCTGATTTCCAAGGGCAACTTTTACGATGCAGAGATGGCAAAATATTAGCAACATGACAAATATTCTTTCTATGGACTCTTGGCATAATTTACCTTTTTGGATGGGCAAATTGCATTGGAAGGAAGTCATTACATAATACTTTAATCAAGCTCTCTTGTAATGCTTCCGTCTATCACATTTGGTTGGAAAGGAACAAGAGAAATTACCAAAAATGTTTAAGTTTGTAGAGATGATCATATCTAATATCCAATTTGAAGCCCATGGCAAAGTGCTAGGTTTTGCTAAACCAAGAGCATCTCATCTTTCTAGAAGTATTGCTGAGCAATGGGGATTTGTGATAGTAGTGAATGATTGATTTATGACTCTTGTTTCAGTTTGGATTAATTGATTTTATAGCAGCATAACTTATTGCTTTGCATTATATAACAGTATTGGATGAAATATATTTTATATTTTATCAAAAAAAAAAAAGAAGAAAGAAATTAGATTTTTGAAAAATCAAAGAATTTTTGTAAAAGAGTTTTATGTTTTTTAGGTCGAATTATACAATAAAAATACATTATGAGCACTAAAATAACTAAAATTTCATTAATAAATTAACATAAAGGAAATTTTCATTAAATATATTTTAGTAAAATGATGGTCCATATTAAAATTTTATTGTGAAATCTGACATGAAAAAACTTTATTCCTAAGATTTTATGTTTTTCTCAAATTCTACTTATAGAATGAAGGTAATCTAGAAGAAGGTTAAGGTTAGAAATACACTTTTGAGTTAAAAGTTTTAATTAAAATTTTCATTTTTTTAGTTTTTTTTATTTAACGATGTTAATTTTGTTAATTTTTAAATAAGAATGTTAATTTTTAATTTTTTTTATTTAAAAATGTTAACTTTTAATTTTTTCTATTTAAGAATGCTCACTTTCAACATTTCTGTTGAAAAATCCATTTGCCACATTAGCATTATTATCCAATTAATCCTTAAATAAAAAAATTTAAAATTGATATCTTTAAATAGAAAAAGTTGTATCAGTGAAGCTGGTTGGAGGACTAAATTGATAACAGATAGACTTGAGAGTTTAATTGGACAAATCATTTAAACCTAAGGGGCTAAAGGATGCTTTGCCTAGAAGGTTAGATCTAAGTAATTCCTTCTGCACTTTGTCTCTGCTCATTCTGTCATTCACGTTGAGTCTACATCCCGCGCTACCATGGACGACCTCCTGCGCTATCCTGCAATCGATCCGACAAACTTCGATTTAATTGTGATTGGTACTGGTTTGCCGGAATCGGTTATCGCTGCCGCCGCATCCTCCGCTGGCAAAACCGTGCTTCATCTTGACCCCAATCCCTTCTATGGCTCACACTTCTCTTCCCTGTCTCTCACTGACCTGGCTGATTTGCTCCAGTCCCACTCGTCACCATCACCTTCGCCGTCACCGGCATACAATGTTCATGATGACCTCGTCGTCTTGGATCTCGTCTCGCGTCCTCTTTACTCCTCCGTGGAGATCTCCAATTTTTCTCCCGAGGTGCTCGAACAACACTCTAGGAAGTTCAACGTTGATGTGGCGGGACCTAGGGTTTTTTTCTGCGCCGACAAATCGATTGATTTGGTGCTGAAATCTGGAGCCAGCCAGTACTTGGAATTCAAAAGCATAGATGCAAGCTTTGTAGGGGATGGAAAGGGGGCTTTTTTGAGCGTGCCGGATACGAGAAGTGCAATTTTTAAGGACACGAGTTTGGGGTTGACCGAGAAGAACCGGTTGATGAGGTTCTTCAAGCGGGTTCAAGGCCACTTGGCGGGCGAAGAAGACGCCAGGATTCCGGAGGAGGATTTGGAAAGTCCGTTTGTTGACTTCTTGGAGAAAATGGGTTTGCCACCCAGGATTAAATCGTCTGTCAGTCACCACTGTTTCTTTGATTTTGTTTATTATTTTGCTAAAGGTTTAAACTTTGATCTTGTCTCTTCCTGCAGGTCTATACTGTATGCAATAGCAATGGTAAATTATGATCAAGAAGGAGTTTGTAAAGATGTACTCGAGACGAAAGATGGAATTGATAGATTGGCTCTATATAATGCATCAGTTGGCAGGTTACTGTTTTTTCTTTTCTGTCTTTTCTTAGTAGTTTTATGTTGTACATGGAAATTCTGAGAGATACTTTGATGACTTGAGGCCTCAATTTCTCTAATGGTCATGCCTTGATCTTATGTACCATATTGCGTCAGTTGTTTTTGTGTATTACATTTGTTGCCAGACCAAAGTGTTTGCTTGATTCGTGTTGGTTTGCCCTTCATTTGAAGTAAGCGAGCTTGTTACTGAATTTACATTTGTCTATTCTTCACTGTTGTTTACCTTTTCAGGTTTCAGAATGCACTTGGGGCTATGATATATCCCATCTATGGTCAAGGAGAACTACCACAGGCCTTTTGTCGCCGTGCTGCTGTCAAAGGTTGCCTTTATGTATGTTTTAATGAGGGTAGAAATTACTTTATTTTTCAAGAACTATCCTGATAATTAATAATGCCAGCACCACTCTTGATTGACTTATTCTCATTTTGAAACTTCTGTAAACTAGTCTTGATTCCACTTTCTTTCTGTTTCTGGATGTGGTATTTTCTTCCTTCCATGAAATTAGCTTTATAACCAAGAACTAGTCAAACAGCATTCGTCTGGAAGTGGAAGTTAATAGCAGTTAACTTAGACTATTTTTGAGAAAGTCCATGTAGGGGACTCAGGGAGTGCCTGTTGGGTTGGCCTATACTTCATTTCTGCACCAGTTCCAATTTATTGCCACCTTTTTTTGAGTGTTAGACTGTTAGGGTTTTTTGATATGTGATTTAAATTTTTCTTCACTTGCATCTCTGAGTCAGCTGAATGGAATCAGTTTCTTTGAGCCTTCCTTGGAAGTTTGCCTTGTCATTCTGATTTAAAGTGTACGTATGCTCTTTCAGCTTTTACTCATTTAAATAATTTGCACTGAAATTCATTTCAGGTTTTGCGTATGTCAGTTGCTGCACTGCTAGCAGAGAAGGTGAGATCCAGTGCTTTATAGACTAAATTAACTAATTTCTAACTTATTACATTCACTCCTCAGGGTAAATGATTCCCATATTTTTCACTTGAAACTTGCAGGATAGTGGATGTTATAAGGGTGTTAGATTAGCTTCTGGTCAGGATATAACCAGCAATAAACTGGTCATGGATCCATCTTTTACAGTTCTATTACCACCATCTTCTTCTCCATCACATTCAGTACAAGAAAGTCTTAGGCTTCTTACTTTGGGAGATGATAGAGGGAAGGTGGCTAGGGGAATATGCGTTACAGGGAGTTCCCTGAAGCCTGATATATCAAACCTTCTGCTTGTATATCCTCCTAGATGTAAGATCTATGCATAGTTGCACTTTGTTGTAGACAAGAAGTTGGGAAAGAAAGATGTTAACTTTTTTCTTCTTTCTTTTTTTTCTCTAGCCTTGTTTCCCGAGCAGGTTATGGCAATCAGAGTTCTGCAGATAGGTAGCAGTTTGGCTGTTTGTCCTTCTGGCTTGTAAGTTTGTATTGGTTTCTGAAGAAGATGAGTTTGTTTAAATCATGTTCCCTTTTTTAAACAAATTTGAATACTTGATTTGAAACTTTTCATGTCTTCTTGTTCAGGTTTGTGTTATATATTTCAGCCTTATGTAGTGACATTGAAGAAGGAAAGAAATTACTGCATTTAGCCATGGATGCACTTTTCAGACTTCCTGTTTCTGGAAATCCTGAAAATGATGCTACAGTTCAAAATGAAACTGCTGAAGGTGGTTCTGTAGCTCAAAGTGAGAATGCAGAAGCAGTGAAACCCACGATACTGTGGAGTGCACTGTATATTCAGGATCTGACAACAGTCTGTTTCTCATCTCCACCTTTTTGTGTGTAGATTTATATTATACTGGGGTTGCATCTCTCTCTCTCTCTCCCTCTCCCTCTGTCGTTTGAATTATTATTGCTGTAGAAAGGATGGAGCTTAATTCAGTCTCTTGTGGAGGATGATGCTCCATGTCTAGCCAGCATGCTGTGGGGAATGCATTTTCTTGTTCCATTTGTCAAAATATGGTTCCTGCATGATGTGATCTTGATAGTAATGTATCTTGATTCCAGGGCCAAGTTGGATCTATCAACTCAGCTCCCATGCCAGATGGAAATTTGAACTACAGTGATACCTTAGAGGCAACTGTTAAGGTACTCCATTTTCTGGCTTGCAAGTTCAGTTTTCTATTGTTCATAAACTCTTGTTTGCACGGTGTAATTGTTGTTGGTTCAAATTTTATTGCGTATTGCATGATTCTTGGTTGAGTTTCACAAATTGAAATGTATTGTGAGCTTTAGCTTACTGCCGATGCTCTCCTTTTGAACTTAGTTTCACTTCCTTTAACTCTTCTTAACAAGATTTACTTATTCCTCCAATAATAATACAAAAAGGAATGGATTTTCTGGTACCTGTTACTTCATGAGGATTTGTATTGTATTAGTTTTCACCGAGGTTCTCCATTCTTCTGATCTTACGTGATTGTTTTCATGATTTGATATACTAACATCAAAACTCAATGCTGCTTCTGGTACTCAGCTATTTCATGAGATATACCCCAATGAAGAATTCTTTCCAGAGACATCCTCAGCTGAGAATTCTGATGATGACAATGGCCTTAGTCTGGAGACTTAAGGATGCATTGCTGGATACCCCCCACCTTACTGGAGCGTCATATTATCTCATTTTTCCACCAGTATATTTCTAAACCACTCTGCACTGGAAGTCTGGAAGTGCTCAACAGAAAGAAAGGAATTTGATACTTACCGAAACAAGCCTGGTACTCCGTTAGAAACTTGATTATACCCTTTTTTATCTCAAAATTTAATTTCACAGAACCCTAGCCCTGGTTTATACTGTATAACTTTCTGTTGAATTCTGTTTTTTGTTGCTATGGTTCTGGGTTTATTGAAGATTTTGCACAAAACTTCCCAACAGATCTAAAGAATGTGCTTCTTGTTTGTTGCATTTTGTTCACTTCTGCAGCTGTCAAGTAATGGCAGTTTTGTAAATTTAGACAAAATGATTGTCAATAAGTTGCTTCCTCTAACTCCTTACGCCACTTCTCAAACATGCCCCAAGGTAGTTGGTAAAAAGCTTTTCTCCGCAAACTTTATCCCTTCTAAGTGACACAGACACCCTTGTCTTTTGCTGTTAATTATACCCAATCACAGCCCAGTGTCATGTAGTTATGGGTTTAAATGAAGGCTATTTTGGTCATAAAGTTAGTTCATATATGTCATTGAGCACATATTCTGCAGAGAAAACACGAACTTCACTCTTGGACGGAAGGATGACATTGTGCTGCTTTCCTTTTTGTTTCCAAGTGACAAGCTGACATCGAAGTCTTTGTTTCAGTTCAATCACATAAAAACTCC